TAGCCCTATCCACTAAAAAGGTCAAGATGAGAAGACAGCCCAGAAGTAGTGAGGACACCTAGAACTCAGAAATCTTGGTCTCTCAAACTTTTATTCCCCACAAGGACACAGCGGCACACTTACAGGAGCTTCACTAGCCAAACCTCTAGAATAATTTGAGCACCAAAATAATTAAGTGGGGTAAGTGAACTGTAAACCATTAAAAAAATAGGAATTCATTAACCTATAACCAATAGATGGGGCTACTGATTACGAAATATGGCCAAGAGTTGACTGGTAATATGAAAGGAAGGCTGGAAAAAAAAACAATGACCATTTTGCAATCATCATAATAAAAAACTGGATCAGACAAAAGTCAATGAATGCTAAATCTAGAGGAAACTGTGAAAATAATCAGAATATCTGCATTGTTTCCCCACAGGCTGCTTATTGCTTGGCAAAAGAGGTGCGGAAAAAAAAACATACAGTGGAGAAATCTGGCAACACCTTGACCAAGGGATCAAAATTTGCTTCACAATAAAAGACAGATGGAAGTCATATGACTCCATCTCTGAGTATCACATTACCTATGCAGTATTCCTGCCAATACGTTACATCTTAATCTAATCACAAGTAAATTTCAGACAAACATAAAATGAACATCTCCATTAAAGAGAGTAAGGGTGTTAAAGAAGGGTTGTATACGTCAAGGTCGTAAGAGATAAAGGCTGTGAAATAGCCCAGGAAAAAGGAGCCTAAAGAGAAATAATAACTGAATGCAAAACCTGACCCCAGACTGAAGTCTATACAGGAAGCATAGAAAATGCTACAAGAGAATTTCTTAGGTTAACTGACAAAACTGGAATATGGGCAATAGATTTCATCGATGTCCATTTATGAAGTTAGTAACTGTACACTGGTTATATAGGAGAATGATTTGTGGGAATGACAACAGAAGTATTAGGGGAAAGAAGCATAACATATGTAACTCACCCTCAAATTGTTCAAAAAAAAATTGGTGTGTTTATGTTTGTGTGTGTAGAAAAAGAGGAAAGAAGGTAGGATGGCACAAATGCAAATAATAAAGCAAGTGGGTGAATCTGGATAAAGGATATCCAGATGTTCTTTTTATTTTTGTAACTTCTGTAAATGTGTATTTCCAAATAAAAGGTTTTTTTTAAAAAAAAAAAAAAAAAAAAACTGGCCAAGCGCAGTGGATCACACCTGTAATCCCAGCACTTCAGGAGACCAAGGCGGATGGATCACTAAGGTCAGGAGTTCAAGATCAGCCTGGCCAACATGGTGAAACACTGTCTCTACTAAAAATACAAAATTGGCCAGGTGTGGTGGCGGACGCCTGTAATTCCTGCTACTTAGGAGGCTGAGGCAGAAGAATCACTTGAACCTGGAAATAGAGGTTGCAGTGAAACAAGATCACACCACTGCACTCCAACCTGGGCAACAGAGTAAGACTCAGTCTCCAAAAATAAATAAACTGTGGAGATAGTTGTCTGCTATGTTCAGGAAGAATTGGTATATATCACAATTAACTGAGAAATTTTATAGAGAAATTGCAAGACCTATAACCAGTGGCTTGGATAGATTCTCAGATAAAGTACCATTGGAAATGTCAGAGAAGGGAGTTTGCACTTTTTTCTCTGTAAGCCAAGGAAAGGCAGCCCAAACTTAAGAGCACAACAGAAGCTTCGCTAAAAGTATACATTTAGGAAAATCTGCTAGCAAAAGTTTAAGTGGATATGGAAGCAGTAAAGACACAAGAACAAACACAATCATGAAATTATGGGGTCTTGGCCTTGGAAGCTAAAATCGGCAACAGAAAGTGGATCAAATGCAGGAGACATGAAAATAGAAAGCCAGATAAAGCCTGCTTGCCAAATGTAGCAGAGTGGGGTGGGATTCAAAGACAACTCCGATTTCAAGCCTAGCTAACCAAGAGAATGATGGTATTACTAAAGGAAATTTAACTAAGCAAAGCATGATTGCTTTCTCAGCAATCAGACAGCTTTTTCTATTCTCATTTTTCCTATTCTGATGTACTATTACAAGTTAAGAAAAGGGAATAGGCGCAGTGACTCACGCCTCTACTCCCAGCACTTGAGGCCAAGACAGGCACAACATTTGAGGCAGGCACATGGTCAGAAGTTCAAGACCAGCCTGGTCAACATGGTGAAATCCCATTTCCACCAAAAATACAAAATTTAGCCAGCCAAGTGTGGTGTCACACGCCTGTAATCCCAGCCACTTAGGAGGCTGAGGCCTGAGAATTGCTTGAACCCAGACGGTGGAGGCTGCAGTGAGCCGAGATCATACCACTACACTTCAGCCTAGGTGACACAAGAAGACTCTGTCTCAAAAAAAAAAAATAGGCCAGGCACAGTGGCTCACATATCCCAGCACTTTGGGAAGCTAAAGTAGGTGGATATTCTGAGGTCAGAAGTTCCAGACCAGCCTGGCCAACATGGCAAAACCCCGTCTCTACTAAAAATACAAAAATTAGCTGGGTGATGTGGTGGGTGTAATCCCAGCTACTTGGGAGGCTGAGGCAGGAGAACTTGAACCCAGGAGGCAGAGGTTGCAGTGAGCCAAGATCAAGCCATTGCATTCCAACCTGGGTGACAAGAGCAAGACCTTATCCCCCAAAAAAAAAGAAAAGAAAAGAAAAAAAGAAACAAAGGAAAGGATTAGATGAAATGTTATTTGCCAGCACAAGCTATCTGGGGAAATTCACCTTCACAAGGTGAAATAGTAAATATAACTTTAAGCTAATTCAGATGTTTGACTAAATGCCATTAAAATATTCACACATGGCCGTGGTGGCTCACGCCTGTAATCCCAGCACTTTGGGAGACTGTGGCGGGTGGATCTCCTGGCTACGTGGCAAAACCCTGTCTCTACTAAAAATACAAAAAAATTAGCCAGGCATGATGGCACACACCTGTAATCCCTGCTACTCTGGAGGCTGAGGCAGGGGAATAGCTTGAACCCAGGAGGTGGAGGTTGCAGTGTGCCGAGATTGTGCCACTATACTCCAGCCAAGGCAACAAGACCAAAACTTTATCTCAAAAAAAAAAAAAAAAAATCCACACATAAGAAGAGAGAATTTCTTCTCTTCCCCCAAAATTATGTTTGTATATGTATATATACACATATATATAAATACCATTACCGTTTGTATGACACATCTGAACTGCAATTGTTCTGCTATATGCAGATTTTCTCTATTTCTGCCATGCCTAAAACATCATCTCCTCTTCTTTCTCCTTTTCAAGCCTGCTCAACCTCACAAGAATGAGTATACATTCTTCATCATGATCCATTTAATGAATAATATATAATTTTCTCTTATGACTTTTTTTTTTTTTTTTTTTTTTTTTTTAGATGAAGTCTCCCTCTGTCGCCCAAGCTGGAGTGCAGTGGCACAATGTGAGCTCACTGCAACCTCTGCCTCCTGAGTTCAGGCCAATTCTCCTGCCTAAGCTTTCTGAGTAGCTGGGATTACAGGCACATGCCAACACGCCTGGCTAATTTTTGTATTTTTAGTAGAGACAGAATTTCATCATGTCTGCCAGGCTGGTCTCCAACTCCTGATCTCAGGAGATCCACCCACCTCAGCCTCCCAATGTGCTGGGATTACAGGCATGAGCCACCACACCAGGCCATGACTTTCATTTTTAATTTTTTATTTATTTATTTTCTAGAGACAAGGTTTCATTCTCTTCCTAGGCTTAAGTGTAATGGTACAATCATAGCTCACTGCAGCTTCAAACTCCTAGGTTCAACGACTTTCCTACCTCAGCCTCTCAAGTAGCTAGGACTATAAGCACATACCACCTTGCTGGCTAATTTTCTTTTTATTTTTTTGTAATACTGGGGATGTTATTATGTTGTTTAGGCTGGTCACCAACTCCTAGCCTCAAGTGATCCTCCCGCCTCCAATCCCCGAAACACTGGGATCATAGGTATGAGGGTATGAGTGAGCCACCATGTCCAGCCTCCTTATAATTTTCTCCTTTTTCTATTTCTTTTTTGGAGACAGAGAGGGTTTCATTCTGTTGTCCAGGCTACAGTGCAGTAACACAATCACATCTCAGGCACAGCCTCAACTTTCTGAGCACAAGTAATCCTTCCACTTCAGTCTCTCTAGTAGCTGGGACTAAGGCACAGGCCACTATGTCTGATTACTTTTTGCAGTTTCTATAGAGACTGCAACTCTGTTGCCCAGACTGTTCTCAAACTTCTGGACTCAAGTGATCTACTCACCTCAGCCTCCCAAAGTGCTAGGATTATATGCACTTGGCCATAATTTTCTTAATAACATTTTCTTTTCTCTAGCTTACTTTAAGAATACAAGACATAATACATGTAACATACACAATACATGTTAATCAGTTGTTTACATTATCAGTAAGGCTACTAGGCAAAAGTAGGCTCCTAGTAAAGTTTGGGGAAAATCAAAAGTTACGCACATTTTTTACTGCACAAGGGGTCAGTGTCCCCAATCCTCAGTTGTACAATGGCCAACTGTATATATACATACATATTCACTCAAGTACTCTAAGCTCATTCATTTAACTAATAATCATTAAAAAGAAAAACATGGCTGGGCGCGGTGGCTCAAGCCTGTAATCCCAGCACTTTGGGAGGCCGAGGCGGGTGGATCACGAGGTCAACAGATCGAGACCATCCTGGACAACATGGTGAAACCCCGTCTCTACTAAAAATACAAAAAATGATCTGGGCATGGTGGCGCGTGCCTGTAATCCCAGCTACTCAGGAGGCTGAGGCAGGAGAATTGCCTAAACCCAGGAGGCGGAGGTTGCGGTGAGCCGAGATCGCGCCATTGCACTCCAGCCTCAAGAGTGAAACTCCGTCTCAAAAAAAAGAAAAACACGAAGCATACAGAGTTTTAATGAAATCATATATTAAGGGAGAGGGAAATACCTTCAGAAGGTTGAAGACAAAAAATTACAAAGAATCAAATCAAAATAAAGCTGAATTACCTGGCTAACCAGTCAAAAGATGCTCAAGCAGTTTATTTTTATTCGTCTCTGAGTCCACCGTCCAGCAAGTATTTTGATCCTGAAGACAAAAAAAAGAGGAGAGATTGAATTTTTTAATTGTATTTTCTTTATTTAAGCATTATGATTAGTCACACACAAATTAAGTCTTCTGGCCAGGCACAGTGGCTCACACCTGTAATCCCAGCACTTTGGGAGGCCGAGGCAGGGCAGGCAGATCACTTGAGGTCAGGAGTTTAAGACTGGCCTGGCCAACATGGCAGAACCCCAACTCTATCAAAAATAGAAAAATCAGTCGGGTGACATGGAATGCGCCTGTAATCCCAGCTACTTAGGAGGCTGAGGCAGGAGAATCACTTGAACCCAAGAGGCAGAGGTTGCAATAAGCCAAGAACAAGCCACTGCACTCCAGCCTGGGTGACAGAGCAAGACTCCATCTCATAAAAAAAAAAAAGCCGCATAAGTCTTCCCATTTTTCCCTTCCCTAGGCATATAAAACAAAAACTATCAAGTACAACACCTCTTCTTAGGAATCAGAGCAGATGTCTTATTGTACCATTTATCACTACTTCTATTTAAAAAGTCAGGCACAGGGCCAGGCACAGTGGCTCATGCCTGTAATCCCAGAACTTTGGGAGGCTCAGGTGGGAAGACCACTTGAGGCCAGCAGTTCAAGACCAGCCTGAGCAAAATAGCAAGACACCATCTCCACCAAAAATAAATAAATAAATAAATAATAAAAGTCAGGGTCAGGCACAGTGACTCACACCTATAATCCCAGCACTTTGGGAGGCAGAGGTGGTTGGATCACCTGAGGTCAGGAGAATTTGAGACCAGCCTGGTTAACATGGTGAAACTCCATCTCTACTAAAAACACAAAAAATTGGTTTGGTGTGGTGGCATGCACATGTCGTCCAGCTACTCGGGAGGCTGAGTCAAGAGAATCGCTTGAATCCAGGAGGCAGAGGTTGCAGTGAGCCAAGACCATGCCATTGCACTCCAGCCTGGGCAACAAGAGCAAAACTCCATCTCAAAATTAATTAATTAGGCCGGGAGCAGTGGCTCATGCCTGTAATCCCAGCACTTTGGGAGGCAGAGGCAGGCGGATCACAAAAGGTCAGGAGTTCGAGACCAGCCTGGCCACATGGTGAAACCCTGTCTCTACTAAAAATACAAAAATTAGCCAGGCGTGGTGGCTCATGCCTGCAATCTCAGCTACTCGAGAGGCTGAGGCAGGAGAATCACTTGAACTCAGGAGGTGGAGGCTGCAGTGAGCCGAGTTCGTGCGCCTGGGCAATGAGAGCGAAACTCTATCTCAAAAAAAAATTAAAGTCAGGCATAGTATATACAATATATACTCTATCACAGTTTGTAAAGATGAATAATACCAAGTGGAGGTGGTGGAAACCAGCTCCAAATCTTGAAAACTGATCAAAACAGATGGGTACTCTGAACTTGTAGGGATATTCATTTGTCCAAAATGGGTACTCAACAGAGAATAAAGACAACATTAATACCCTGGCAGAAGCAAATGCCTAAATGCCCTAGTCCAAAAATTATCCAATGGAGGGAGGGGTGGATAAAAAGCAAGGAGGCAAGGGCCAGAGGAAAGACTCAGATGTTTTCTTGTCTTCTGCAAAAGGATGCATTTTGATCACCGAAACAAAATATTAATTGGGAAATAAGAGACCGTTCTTCAGAATAATCTGCAACAAAATACATGAACATATAAACAGCAGGCTTTTGCACTTGAAGACATGGTGTGCAGGTTCTGTTGTGATAAATAAGTGAGCCAATAAGAACATTCACCTTACCTTATGAATTTCCAAATTTAACAATAAAGCAACAATCTGACTGCCACTAATTCCAATGGTTTGGAATCAAGATAACAATTGTAACTATGCCCTAAATTTAATAGTTTTCATGCTGGAATTGGTAGGTCTGTTGGTACCAGGGAAAGGAAAAATGATACATTCACAAGTTACAAGTAACATATTACAGCCATGGCCATTCCATGTAGTGTACAGTCTGCAAACAGCATAGAGAGCCAACCACAATCTAGCTGCATGATGGAAAGGTCTGTTGCACTTCTAAAACCAAAATTAAAGAGGAGAAAATCAGGAAATGGGGAATAGGAGGCATATTATATGTGGTTCACAAAGAAAAAAGAAAACTCTAGATAGTGCCAGGTGACTCTCCCTTACTCAAAATGCTTGGAAGCATAAATTTCTTGGATTTTTTTTTAATATTTGTATATGCATACTGAGATATCTAGGGGAAGAAACCCAAATCTAAACACAAAATTCATTTATGTTGCATGTACACCTTATACACACAACTGGAAGGTAATTTTATACATTTTTAATAATTTTGTGCATGAAACAAAGTTGTAGCTTTTTTTTTCTTTTTATTTTTGAGACGGAATCTCACTCTGTGCCCAGGATGGCTGGAATGTGGTGGCATGGTCTTGGCTCACCTCTGCCTCAACTTCCCAGGCAGCTCAAACCATACTCCCACATCAACCACCCAAGGAGCTGGGACTACAGGCACATGCCATCATGCCCAGCTAATTTTTATAATTTTTATAGTGACAGGGTTTCACCATGTTCCCCGGGCTGGCCCTGAACTCCTGAGCTCAAGTGATCTGTCTGCCTCTGCTTCCCAAAGTGTTGAGATTAGAGATGTGAGCCACCATATTCCGCTGAATGTGACTTTTTTTAACCGGAATTTTTTAAATTTTTTTGAGATGGAGTTTCGCTCTTGTTACCCAGGCTGGAGTGCAATGGCACGATCTCGGCTCACCGCAACCTCCGCCTCCTGGGTTCAGGCAATTCTCCTGCCTCAGCCTCCTGAGTAGCTGGGATTACAGGCACGCGCCACCATGCCCAGATTATTTTTTGTATTTTTAGTAGAGACGGGGTTTCACCATGTTGACCAGAATGGTCTCGATCTGTTGACATCGTGATCCACCCGCCTCAGCCTCCCAAAGTGCTGGGATTACAGGCTTGAGCCACCGCACCTGGCCTTTAACCGGAATTTTTATGCTATCCAATTTAATTCTTGTAAGATAAAGGGAGAAAAGGTAGGCAGAACTTCTGTAAACAACTTCTAAGATCTTCTGGCCCTGTTTTAAATCAGGTTTCACTTCTAAAATGGTTCTCTTATTTTTGTTTCTTTATTAGGAAAAAGGAAGGAGGGTCGTGGGGTGGGGGTTAACACCTAAGGGGCAAGAGAGGTGGCATCAGGAAAGGATTTTTTTTTGTTTTTGAGGGGAGGGGGGTAAGGGGATAGGGGGCAGAGTTTCACTCTGTTGCACAGGCTGGAGTGCGGTGGCATGAACTCAGCTTACTGCAACCTCCACCTCCTTGGTTCAAGCAATTCTCCTGCCTCAGCCTCCAGGGTAGCTGGAATTACAGGTGTGTGCCACCACATCCAGCTAATTTTTGTATTTTTAGTAGAGACAGGGTTTTTGCTATATTAGCCAGGCTGGTATTGAACTTCCGACCTCAAGCCATCTGCTCACCTTGGCCTCCCAAAGTGCTGGCATTACAGGCATGAGCCACTGTACCCAGCCAGGAAAGGAATTTGAGTCAGAAATTATCTAACAGCATAATGGACCTAGGAAACAATTACTGCTGCCTAGTGCAGAAGGCTGGTGAGAGGGCCTAGATTAATACTCAAATATTATAGTACTGGTTTTTGTACTTACCAAAGGAATGTTGACCCCACCAATGTGCACCCTTAGACCCAAATGTTAAGTGCTGGACCCCCAGGTGGAAGATCATACAAAGTCAGCATGCCCAGATGAACCAAGAATGCAACCATGGTGGAATCTAAATGATCACACTAAGGAACACCGAATGAACAACCGCAGACACCACATGGCAAGATAGAGGATCCAACCAAATCAAGCCTTGGCATCACCCCATGGCAGAATCCATTTAGATCACACCTCATTACTCTCCAAATATAAAACCTGCATCCAAATTCCATCTCAGAGAGACAGAGTTGAACCCAACTCCTATCTCCTTGCTCAGCAGCCTTGCAATAAACTTTTCTTCCTACAAAAACTTGGTGGGTGCTCAGTGTTTGGCTTTCCATTGCATGCACAGGGAAATACACCCAATTTGGTTCAGTAACGCAAAGACAAGCCAGACACAAAATTCTCCCCTCAGAAGAAGTGTATAATTAAACCAGAGAGATTCCCAAATAGTCACAGAACTTGACTACCACGAACCTGGAAAGGAGTACTACTATACACCAGGATCCAGTAAGCATGTTAGTAAAAGTGCTGGTGAGTTAAACTAGCCTGGAACCAAGATTCTGCAAAGGCAACAATCCTAGCACATTTCTTAGGACAGTATTTTTTTTCTTTATCAAAAACCGTATTATCCCTTTTCACAATTTAGAGTTTAGTCAATCACACATACAAAAACCAAATTATACTGACATGAAACTAAATTTGACAAGTTCCAGAAACATTAGACATCTAAGAAAGTGGCAGGAACATTAATTTTTCTAACAGACGGCCGGGTGTGGTGGCTTATGCCTGTAATCCCAGTACTTTGGGAGGCCAAGGTGGGAGGATCACTTGAGGTCAGGAGTTCGAGACCAGCCTGGCCAACATGGTAAAACCCTATCTTTAAAAAATAAAAAAAATTAAAAATTTCTAGTAGAATTAACAGTTTACTGATGAGACCTACATTACCAAAACCTGCATGACCAGGCCAGGCATGGCAGAGCACACCTACAATGCCAGCTACTCAGGAGGCTGAGGCAGGAGGACCACTTGAGTCCAGGAGTTTGCGTCCAGCTCGGGCAACACAGCCACTGTATTGTTTTTTGTTGTTTTTTTTTTTTAAACCTTCATCACCAAAGACCTAAGAGGAGGTGGGGGGAAATGAAACATCAAATTAAGCCTTGTTGATGGCAAGTCTGAGAAGATGTGCCTCAAGGCCAGAACAAAGAATAAAATTGCAGGAGAGAAGCTGATACACAGGAAAATCCAAACTATGCAATATATAATGCTGATGTTTAGAAATATATAATGCTGATGTTTAG